GGCTGTTCCTTGTAGGCAAAGATTCTGGGGCTTCGTCTGACATACTTTGGACATGTTGTAAGGAGGGAGAGGTCCTTAGAGAGGGGCATTATGCTTGGGAGAATGGAGCAAGAGGGGAAGACCCTCTATGAGGTGGATTGATTCAGTGACTGGGTAATCGGGATAAGTGTGTCAGAGGCAGTGCGACTGGCACAGGATGGAGCAGGTCTGTTGTGCGTAGGGTTGCTATGAGTTGCCAAGTGATTCGACGGCACATAACAACAGTAACAACAACATCATCTTACCCCCCCCTTCTTGATATTGCAGCCAATCTCACCCTGGATAAGTCTAAACCATTTTCCATCAAAGCAAAATGTAAAATGTTGCTCATATCATACATTTAATATTGTGTGGACACAAATAAAAAACGTTTATGAAAGCACTATGTATAAAAGAAATTAACAAAAGAGAGAAAGGAGTTAATATGTTGTTGTGTATTATCCAATTGAAATGGACCCATAGCTGACCCTCCAGTGGCTTTTCAGAGGCAGTTAACTGCACAAGAGGAGATTGCCCATCTTTTTCTTGAGGAGCAGCTGGTGGATTCAAACGACATAGGAGTACAATTTCTGAAGCAGCCCAGAATGTTCCTTAGAAACAATGATGGTGCTACTTCCACCTGAAAAATGCCCTTGATGAATGAATACTTATGTTTGTTATGAAATATAAGAGTGAATGACTAAATTTATCTGAAAACAACTCTCTAAAAGAATTCTTTTATTATTATTATTAATTTTTATGTGTGTACCGTCAAATCGGATCTGACAGGTACAGGATGAGATTGTCCCTCCTTCTTTAGCAGAGCATCTGGTGGTTTCGAACCATGCACCTTTGGGATTGTAGTTTAGCTTCTTGCCACTAGGCCACCAGAGCTCGCCTAAAATAATTCTTATTCTACAAAGAACAAGAGTTGCAAAGAACATTATAAAAGCAACTAATTATATAATTAATTATATAATCTAAATGGTAAAATGTGGTTTCTTTTATATAAATGCAGCTAATTAATGTTATCTATTTCTTAAAAAAATCTGTTGATATTCATATACACATATCACATTTTATACTACTTAAAGTATACAATTTAATGGATTATGGTATATTACAAAGCTGGGTAATGATAAGTGATAGCAAATTTTAGAACTTTTTCATTACCTGGAAAAGTAGTCCTATACTCATTACAAATGAATTCCTGTACCTATTTTCCTCCTGGCAATCACTATCCTAATTTCACCTCTATCAATCTCACTATTCCAAATATTTCATATAAATGAAATAATATGTGGCCTTTTGTTACAGGTTTCTTTCATTGTGCATAATGCCTCAAGGTTTATCCATGTAGCACCATGTATCAGTATTTCATCTACTTGAACGGGATTTCACTGAAAAGTGTAGACTGTATTTTATGCTTTGATTAGCTGATAGACATTTCGGTTGTTTTACTTTCCCCATTATCATCAGTTACTAAGAGTTGTGCGTATTTTTTTGTAGACTTATATTTTACAGGAATAAATGATCTATGAATAGTTTACTTTCCAATATGGAGGATCCTTTTTCCCTTGTCTAATTGTCCAAGGTAAAACTATAGTATAATGCTGAAAATAGTGGCATAAGCAGTGTATTTGTTTTATTACTAATTTGGGGAGAAGCATCAATTTTCCTCTTTAAGTGTGTTATTATCTGGGGGTTATTTTTAGGTATTATTCATCATCATATCATGGGGTTGCCTTCATAGTAAAAAAAGTAATTTCTAGATCCATCTTGAAGTACAACATC